TGATCGCTGAGGCGTCGGCGTCGCCGTCGTGAAGTGATCGTGCACGTAGACCGGAAGACGATTGAGGATTTTGAAGGAGAGGTTTGGTTTTGGGTACGGCGGTGGGATAGCGGATGAAGTCGATTTGTCCGACAACATCGCTTAGAGAGTGAAAGTAGGAAGGACATTTTGGTCTTCACAATAACTTTTTTTTATTCATTAAAAAGACACGTAATGGGATTCGAACAATGACTATTTTAAGGAAAAGTAAGGATCATTACCAATCACACTAAGTACATTTGTTGTATCTTTTTAAATTAAAAACATATAATAGCAGGGAGGAAAAAACCCTTCCCTCATTTCAAATTCCCTGCTCCATGAGCGTTTGTAGGAATGATAGAATAGGGAGTATCAATTTTTTCCTCTTTGCTCTGTGGAACGGGCCAACTTACCGTACACATGCGGATTTAAACGGGTTTAGGAGTGTCAATTTTTTTCATTAAACCCTTTTATTTCTCCGTGGTGATAAAATATATATGAAAAAGCAAAAATAATACTTCTTCATATTGCTAAAAATAAAAAATTTAACAATAAACTAATGCATGGTATCTAATGGGCTAACCGCTAACCATAAAATAAAAGAGTTGAATTGGCCTGACCTACACGGGATTTGACCATCAAGTAAAACAAATGAACATCATTGGTTTGACATTCTAAAACAAGCTATTTTCTTTGGCATAATATATATTATGCTATTATTTTATATCTTAGTGGCTAAAATATAATGTATTTTAAATTTATTCAATGGTTCAACCTCGACCAACCCAATTAGTCCAATTTTTATCATTTCAAATGTATATTATATAATTATTTGATATCATAACGATCAAATTATAGTGTATTTTATAGGGAACCGTTTGGTATTTGTTAGTAAAAAACTAAACAGAAAGATCTATTTGGTTATTTTAAACATTAAAACGATCCTAACATTTTCAGTTCCTTTTGAATTTCTATGGTTTTATTCCCGAATAAGTGATGTGCAAATGGCAAATTGCAGTCATCTCTTTTCTTTCACTATTTTTTATTTTCAAATAGAAAGTTTAAAAGTAAAGAATAATTAGAATTTGGCATGGGTCGGTCAAACAGGCTGCATTTCAAGTTTTGGTCCGTTTTGATCAAGTCTAATTTATAATCACATGGTTCCCTGATACCCGATAAAAATCTCAATCCAAACCAGTTTGGCTGGTGAGTCCGTGTTTACCACCATTTTCTAGGGATACGACAATTACGGTTCCTATCCCAAATCGTGTTGTTCGTTATTGATTTCCTTAGATTTTATCATGGCCTGAAAAAAACCAGAAAGCACAATGACGACAAGATGAAAGTTTTATAAACCAAATTAATCGGCCAACGGCCCGAGCAAAAGCTAACAACGATTGTGAGATGCTAATTTCCCGAAAACCGGCGGGATATGCGATTTTTTATTTGATTTTATGAAATTTTCGGTTTCTATAAAACTTACTCCACCTCATCATATTACCAGAAACAATATTGTTTCACAAGGTAACAGGTAATTGATTTTGGTTCATAAGGCGCCGATTTTTGATTTGTTGCATCATTAATGTCTCTTTCCTGCTAAAATTCACTATTTTTATTACGTGTTTCCCAAAAGAACTATACAACAATAAGCTATACACCCCATTACATTATCAAATTTCATACCTCACCTTCCTCCGGTCAACTGGCCGGGACCCACGCTAGTTCAATTGAGAAGGGGGGAGTAATTAGGGTTGGGAAATTTTTGGTAGGGAAAAAGAATTAAATTAATTGACACGCATTATATTTTAGGCCTATTATATTGGTTCAATGTTGGGAAAAAAATCCAAAAGTATCACTGTTTAAAAAAAAAATTCAAAAATACCACCCAACCCAAAAAAATTCCAAAAATACCACCTTTTTCTTAAACCTCCACCCCACCCTACGGTTTACACGAAAACCGCTGGGCGGGGGTGCGGTTTTCTATGCAAACCGCTGGGCTAAGGGGCGGTTATAAAAACCTGACCAAACTGCTGGGTGGGGCGGCGGTTTTGGGCATAACCGCCACCCCACCCAGCAATTTGGTCCATTTTTTTTCCGATCAACTCCTAACTTTGGCCGAAACTTCAAACGAACGTAACTTTGCACTCAGGTATCCGATCGTAGCGATTTTTTTTGAATCCGAATAACTTTTCGAGATCTTGTAAGACGCAAACCGCCGTTTGCCTCGAAAAAACGTCATTTGCTACCCCGAACGAGTTTTTTTTTTTATTTCGTCAAACTTTGGGCGGCCTTAACTTTGTGCTCCAAAATCCTAACGTCATGAATTGTTTTTTGAATGCAAATAAATTTTTGAGATCTACAACTTTTACTAGGATGAAATTTTCAAAACAGGAATTAGTTGTGGATATATGGAACCTTGGGAATAACTTAACCTTTACTTTTTACAAATCCATGTACATTTCGAAATTATGATTATTTTAAAAGTTGTAGATCTCGAAAAGTTATGCGGAATAAAAAAAAAATCATGACGTTCGGATTTTGGAGCACAAAGTTAAGGCCGCCCAAAGTTTGACGAAATCAAATAAAGGCTCGTTCGGGGTAGCAAATGACGTTTTTTCAAGACGAAGGCGGGATCAACTGCCTACGGCAATTTGCGACTTGCAAGGCCTCAAAAAGTTATTCGGATTCAAAAAAAAATCGCTACGATCGGATACCCGAGTGCAAAGTTACGTTCGTTTGAAGTTTCGGCCGAAGTTAGGAGTTGATCGGAAAAAAAAAAATTGGACCAAACCGCTGGGTGGGGTGGCGGTTTGCCCCACCCAGCGGTTTGGTCAGTTTTTATAACCGCACCTTAGCCCAGCGGTTTGCATAGAAAACCGCATCCCCGCCTAGCGGTTTTCGTGTAAATCGCAGGGTGGGGTGGCGGTTTTTGAAAAAGGGTGGTATTTTTGATATATTTTGGGGTTGGGTGGTATTTTTGGAATTCTTTTTTAAAACAGTGGTATTTCTGAAAAAAGCCCTCAATGTTGCCACATTGATGGCGTTAGTGCTTTGTCAGCACAGTTAAGTTGGCATCCATTAGAGTTGGACGGAAATGATGGATGATATTGGTTATGATCAAGTTTAGTGGTTTAGCTGAACCAAAATAGAGTGCAGTGGTAAATGTAAATTAATTAAGTGAGTTAAGTGATGAGTAGTGATTTTCACCCGAGGTTGACTTTTTCACTTACGAGGGCGACCTTTTAATCGTAAAATGGCCGGTCTTTGAGATATTTGAGTTGACTTTTTATATTGTTCGCTTCCTAAAGAGGTCGATCATTTGCTGTAAAAGGTCAATCGCGTCGTTGAGCCTCACAAAACTGAAACAACAGATTAGGTCGACCTAATCCTATCTGAGATCGACCTAAAAGTGCAAGTTACGGTGACTTGCAAGTCACCTTAGCAAAGTCCAAAAGTAAATAATGCTAAATAAGCGCACCAAGGTAAATTCATAATGAAATCCAACAAAATAAAAATGGTTTGTACCAAAAACCAAATGGGACAATTCCATCATATATCCATGATTTTGCAAAACCTAAATGTTAATCAAAACCTTCATTTTTCCAAATTCATGAAGCAAACTAAACCTTAATGTTTTGAAATAATTTCTCATTATTATTAGTATATAATTATGGCGCAAGTAATAAAAATTTTGGTGAATGTTCCTCACGAAATAATAGCATACCCTGGAAAAATTCCTCCCCGGATTATTGTTCACTACAGCTATGATTAGCTGTGGCCGCATCCACCCAAAATTCCGCATAAAACCAAAATCCCCTGTTGCTTCTTCTTGCATCACTTTGTTACCATCCTTTATTATCACAACCATCAAGTTTATATACCACGCAAAGTTTCTATAGGTAAATGTCTCCTCTCTCAAAATCCCTAATACCTTATAGCAATGTTTACAAAATTATAAACATACCAGTGGTTCAACTGAAAAAATGCCTGATTGAAGGAGTCCAAACCAATAGGTGATTTTAATGGTTGAACCATAGTTAGATCATGATTTCAAAATAAATTATCCTATCATTGAATTTTTTGATATTACGCCTAGTACGATCTTAAAATCTTAAATTTGTAGAAGGATATATATATTTTGAAACCGGCATGTCTTTTGTTAATTAATGAAACTCAGAAGGATACAACCCACTATATTTGTCAGAAGAAACAATATATAATAATTTTAAAGGTGGACTATCAGCCCAAACCAAAGACTAATTCCATGGACCAAGTAGATGTGCTTATTCATGGGTTGTTTGGTTTGCTTTCCTAGTGACAATAAATCCACTTAATCACCTTTGAAGGATAGATATTTCTTATGTATTCTTAAATAGCGAGCAACCAGAGCTATTACCCACTCGATCAAAAAAGTTCTAGTAATGGAAGTTGGAAATCCATTAGCAAATATAAAAGACGTATGTAGGATGAAATGGTGGTTGTTGCTATTTGCTCCAATAACGAATCATTGTCATTGGTTTAATAGAATAACTAAATAAAATAAATAGACCCTTCTTTTTGTCTCGGGTCGATGGATCTTCTCAATTGAAAGATCCATGTATGGATAATACATATTCCAATTGACCTAATCATAAGTAATGTATGGTCTAATTATAAAATCAAAGTTGTGTTTATCCCTCATAATATAATTTTGAATGAACCAAATTTATTTATTATTAACTAAACTGTTCACTATCTCATCAATTTGTTCTACACAAAGGTTCTGCAATATCAGTTATTTTTATACATACTATTTTAATAAAATGTGATATTTTTGTAGCTTAATTACTTTGTTATTAACTAAAACTCATGTATTATAATAATAAAATATCTATAAAACGTGATATTTTCCCTTCAAGCTGGTTTCTAACATCGAAAGGTCTCTGCAACTACAAGTCGAAAGCTGTTGGCCCATCTTATTTCTATGGATCTCTCCAAGAGCAAACAGTAGGACAAATTCATTCCGTGATGCAGGGAGAATCTCTACTTAGTTTCAGAAGTACTTCCTTTGTCAAGGTTTGAGGAACCCACTCTATCATATGTTGTCTTGACATTTTTTAAAATGTGTTCTGAGTTTCCCAGTTCCTTTAACTTCAGCAGTTCAGACTGCAAATAATCCATGGTGACCTGCCAGTTACATGATGAGAATGAGGGAATTGATCTAGCTCCATCGCATACGAGCACAAAAAACCAAAAAAAACAAAAAATGGGCACCACTTTGAACCTACCTATCTACAACTCAATAATCCCTTGCCAATCCACAATTGAAACCAGACAGACCTCATCTTGGATGGAAAGAACTGTTATCAACAGTGGCTACTGATTCAGAAAGGCCTATATTGAGGGGGAAACATGGGTCCTCGCAACCATTCCCAATTTCCATGGTCTTCTCGTCAATGAATGGTGGGTTTGTTGGGGAAGGCAGCTGCTCTTCAGTGGTTAGCATCTGCAGAATCTTGGACATGGATGGTCTGAGAGATGGACTCTCCTGGGTGCACAGCAGTGCAACATGAACAACTCTCAAGACATCATTCCTGGCGTTGCTGTTGTGGTGGTTGTGCAACATTAGGTTTGGATCGTACATTTCTTCTACACTTCCTGCCTGGAACTGCCTCCACATCTGAAAAAAGTTGGTCACATTCAGGATAATCACATCATTGTCTCTTGAAACTGTAACATACAGGATTCAGGCTCTTGAATGACAAAAACCTACCCAAGTTACTAAGCTGTCAGTATATTCAGCAGTTTTGCTTCTGTTGTTCTGCTTCCCTGTAACAATCTCAAGCAGCAGCACTCCAAAGCTGTAGACATCTGCTTTTTCTGTCAATTGACCGTGTGCCAGATATTCGGGAGCCATGTAACCCCTGAAAGGAAAGAGCCAGAAACATGTTCAATTTTGTGACTCTGTTGAGAGATTGTAAATGCTGAGGGCAAATCACTTACAGAGTTCCTGCAATGGCTGTGCTTATATGGCTCTTATCCTCTTGGAAAGATCTAGCCAAGCCAAAATCGGCAATCTTAGCTCGAAGTCTGGAATCCAAGAGAATGTTACTCGCCTTAATGTCCCTGTGAATGATCCTGATCTTGGAATTCTCATGAAGATACACTAGACCTTCTGCTGTTCCCACAATCACCTCGTACCTCCTGTCCCAGTTCATTGCCTTGGCCTTGTTCACGTCTGTCACATTTTCAAAGTTTTGGCAAAACATCACATCGTCAATCGAGACTGATGTAACCGAACGGTTCTCCCTCCCTCATTTATCAATCTATTTCAAGCTTACCAAAGATGAAGCGATCAAGGCTCTTGTTGGGAAGGTATTCATAGACAAGTAGGCTTTCGGGCCCTGAACAGCTGCAACCCAACAACCTGACGAGGTTCTTGTGTTCCACGCTGCTTATCATGTTGACTTCGTTGAAGAAATCTCCTATTCTGTGCTTGTTGTTGAAGAAAAGCCTCTTCACAGCTATCTCTCTTCCATCAGCCAAAACTCCCTGCAGAGTTTTTGACATGATTAAGATCTGGTACCTAAAAACCCTACTAAAAAACCATATTATTCTTGCCGAGAGAGAGAGAGGGAGAGGGAGAGGGATGAAATGCCATATCACCTTGTAAACTGAGCCAAACCCTCCCTGTCCAAGCTTGTTGGCTTCATCAAAACATCCTGTGGCCTTTTCAAGAGTGGAGTACTTGAAATTCAAACTGCTGTCATTCAGGGTCTTCACCATTTTCTGCACATCCTGAGAACCTGAAGCAACAAGGCAAATCATGAATCCTGAAGCATTCATATCCGCACATAAAAAATAACATGTTAAATCAAAGAGAAAACCCATTGTTAATATTTTACCCCTTCGTTTCTTCTCTATGTATCTGTGCTTCCATATATAACCCCCAATAGCTCCACCAACAATCAACACCAGAATACAGCTTACAACTGAAACCACTATCACAATCACCGGAACTGCTGCAAAATGGAAAAGAAAAGACAGCAACATGAATTCTTTCCATTCGGGTATCCATAATTTCACAGAACAGAGAAACTACACAAGTGCCCATTTTTTTCCAAAGAAAGGAACAAACCCAAAAAAAGTAACTCTCACCTCCAGAACTGCCAGTTCCTGCAACCTCACTGTTGAGAAAATCTCTATCAGAATACCTCATAAAACACCCGGTATGCAGCGCCCTCGCTTCGGACCTGGGCAAGCAACCCATCATAGAATCCGAAGCATTCTCCAAGCACAACCGGCAGTCGCTCGAATTCAATGTCCTCCAGCAATTCGCCAGCACAAAAACCGACGAATTAGTCCCCACAATATCCAGCTGACCCCTGGAGAACCCATTATTAGCCGGAGCATCAGCCACCGCCTGCGAGAGAGCCCGTCTCACCGAATCCTGAAACAACGAGGAGTTGTTGTTCCCCATTGGCGACGTGGCATTACCGCAGACGGCCCTGTCCTGAGGCCCATTGTACTCGTGGTAGAAGCTGTAGTTCTCGGCCCTCATGAAGCAGCCGTCGAGAAAGATGCGGCCGCCGTTGAAAGGGTAGCACTGGGGCAGAATGGTGCGGGCCTCGGCGTAGCAGAGCACGCAGTCCAGCAGAGAGAGGTCGCCGTAGCACTGGGCCAGGCCGTAGTTGATGTCGGGTCCTGAACCGGCTACGGCTACCCCGAAACCGGATGTTCTCATCTGCTCGCTGATGTTCTCCATGGTGGCGACGAAATTGGGGACGAAGATTGCTGGGTTTGCCTCCATTTGGTTCCCGCAGGTGACATTTACTGTTTGAGCTCTGGGATCTCCAGTTGCAGTTTGTGGTTGGGATGCTGCCAGGATTGCCAGCAGAGCGAGGAAGATGAGCGGATTGGGGAACTTGTTTACTGATTCACTGCTGCTCATCATTACTTATTAGTCTTGTTGAGAATATCTGGTACAAGTGCAAGTGGGTAATGGAGTCTCAGAAGTTGCAAGATCAATGTTGGGATTCAATGGAGAAGCTGGGAAGTCCTTGTCAATGGAGGTAGTTGGAAATTGAAAGTTTTAGCACCGTCATTACTGCGGGTAGGCACAAATGACTTGTTTGGGTATTCGGTAGCCACGAAAAGTCAAGAAGGAAAATAAATCATTTTTGTTTGTTTGCGGTGGGTTTTTGTTTGTGTTGGGTTTTAGCTGGCGCTTGGAGAAGAACCATGTGACAAACGCACCCCAGCTCAGCTGCCATTGTTATCAAGTTCTCAATCAGAGGTTTCACACCACAGGAAAAGGCCATTTCACCTTGTTTTACACTTATTTGGCTAGCCCCAACCTGAATTCAGCATAAGGGTTAAACTAAGGATCCGTTGCAAAGATGGTAAAAAGAAAATCTTCAAAAGGATGAGCAAGATCGTTTTTTGTTTGTTTTGGGTGAGATTGAAAGCCACTGCTTCTCAATTGAAAAGGATTTGGAGGGGTGAAGCAAACTGATGATTTGAGTTGTGGGTCAAGTGCAGAGCGGCCTCTTATCAAACGCTAAGGAAGAGCGGTTAAAACTTAAAGACAACTTGGGCTCCTTCCACGGGGCTTAATTTCCTTTATCGAGAGCAATAAGCCGAAGAAAAAAACAAAAGAATTCATGTCTGGGTTTGGATCAGTTTCCCAAACACTCAACATCACAGCAAAAGAGAATGATCAAAGTTCGTACCTCTTAACAATCCACTTGGCGTGAAAGCAGATCAACTCCTCCGCCGCCGCCGCCGCCGCAGAAGAAGAAAAGTATATATATCCTCTGTTTTTCTCTGATCCTGAGCAGAGTGGACGGGGTTCTTCGTCTGCTGATGCTATGGTCAGAAATCGGGTGGGTTATGTGTAAAGTTATGAACTGTATTATCTGAAACGTCGAGAAAGGAACTTTGATTTAGAATTGGAAGAGGAGTGGGTGGGTAGAGAGAGAGAGGTGGTCCGGAAGTCAAAGTGAAGACAGTTCATTCATAATCATGGACGGGAGCGAAGACTTCTGTGGGTTGTCCGTTGAATTCGAAAGGGTCGAACAAAGACTAAAAGAGACGAGCAGCAGCAATCGGCATTGGAATGGCGGCGACCAAAGTCGTCAGAGACGGAAAAAACCTTTATTCACAGTTTGGGTTGTACAGTGGGGGACGCGGCTCTAAGGAGTTATTGGAATGGAACTTTCCATTTTTACCTTTTGCACGTTAGCTAGTTCCTGACTTTACCCTTTCCATTTTCCACCGTGGGGCCTCATTTTTCATTGCCCATGTTTACACCTTGCGAGACGCCGACTTCGCCGACTTCGATCTCCTTTTCTTCTGGGATATATATAGGCTAAGAGACGAATTAGATTAGGTACCAACTCTACAAGGGTTTATTATTTTAGTTATTAGATGGAAAATATAATCTAGGAGTTAATTGAAACAAAAAGAGAGTTGTTTTGGTCAAATATACAACCCACTAATTCCAACCACTAATAGCGTTTTGCTGATTGTATTACCAGTTTTTGCATTTGATGTAATAATTTATAATTTCACTACGGATTCTTACTAAATTTCTACGATCGAAATCAATATGAATAGCAATACAATTATTACAAGAAATCAAAATCACTTATAACAATAAAACCACTATTGTCATCATCAGTACAACATGATTGTTAGGTAATTTAAGTAGTAGTAATTTCTCAGTATTAGTTTTTGCATGTCGGAATTTTCTATCAGAGTGAGGAGAGATATATTTACAAATAATTTTTTTTACTACATTTAATTTTTTTAAATATTAAACAACCTCCTCGTAATCCTCCACCTTCATATTCAACGTAAATGTAAGAAACGATGATCAGCGGCGGATCCAGAACACAGTAGAGCACTGGGCCGCATTCCATTAGAAAATTATATATTGTCAAAAAACTAATGATCATTGTTAGGCATATTCCAGAAATGACTAAGAATCTGATATCTTTGAGTCTACTCGACAGCAAGGGTTTCAGCTTCAAAGGTGAAGGTGGAGTGTTGTCTATCTACAAGGGTTCTAAGGTGATTTTCAAAGGTGTCAAGCGGGGTGCCTTGTATAGTCTACAATGTTCTATTTTGACATGTTCTGTTGGTGATGAGTGCACCAAGCTAGTTTTGAATGGCAAGTCTCAGCATGGGTTGGACTTGCCGAATGGTTTGAGTTGTTGACCGCCCTTAGGGGCATTTGGAGGCAGGGGAGATTCTGGTACAGCTAATTTGAAGGAGTTTGGTACGTCTGGCAATTTTGATTGCATCTGAGTTTGGCGATTTGCATCGCATTTGAGTTTGGCGGTATCAATCGCATCTGGGTAAATTTGGCGATATGTATCCATGGCAACTTTGGTTGCATCTGGTACATTTGGTATTTGAAAGAGAATTCAAGTCAAGGTGGAGATTGTTAGGATATGACTTGAATTTGATTTGGGTTTGTTTTTTGTTTTGGGCCTATTTTGTTTGGGTTTGTGTTTGGGCTTTGTTTGACCTTTTCCTTGTATGTTTGGGAAAAGGTGTTTGGTTTTCTGTTTGGGATTAGGAGAAGAGTTCTATAAATACACTTCATCACCTTAGTCTGTAGTAAGGTCAGTCAGGTTAATTTGTTTGGTTTGTCCGTTTGGAATTTGGTTTGTAACCTGTACTCTCCTCAAATTAGTGAAATTTGTCTCCCCTGCCCGTGGATTAGCTAGCACACATTGTGTTAGTGAACCACGTTAAATTTGTGTTCGTTCGTGTTGGTTTGGATTATCGATTGCACGCTAACGTTCTGACAATCATTTTTTTTACAATGTCAATTGTACACGATGGTCATTTATAATAGCGAATGCATTAATAATGGAGTCTACATCCATACCAGTAACATACTCTGTTTCATGTAAACTGGGTCGTTTGGAAGTTGCGAATGTTAAATCGTTGCATTGTAATGAATCGCCATAATATAAATGCATGTATTGATACAATGGATGCATTTTAACAATACATTATTTGGTTGTTGAGATTATAATTTTTGTATTGATTTACATAAAGTTACATTTATGATGAAATGTCATATTTACCCTCAACTTTTAGTATAAGACAAAAACTATTAGGGATATAAATGAAAAGAAAAAGTTAACACAAATCTAAAAGCAACAATCACAAGAATCTCAACTTTTAGTTGAGATTATATAATGCATCATTTTTAGTGATTGTTGGTGGGACCTACCTAAAATAATGCATGCATTGTTTTACACTTTGGCACTTCCAAACATTGTATTGTGCACAATACATGTATTCAACAAACACAACTCTAGCAATCACAACTTCCAAACGACCTAATTACGCAATCGACGAGAAATTCATCGCTCATTTTGTTGCGCACAACAGCTTTCACACTTTTATTGTTGAAAATCTCCATTCTAGCCATTGAAACGATTAGAGTCAATACTAGACAAATCAATCGACTAATCAATTTGCATTGTGTGTCCATCCCTATATCCACTAGTAGTTCTAGTAATTTTCAAGAGAACAAATCTCATATTTCTATTAGTCCTTTAGGTTTTAGACTTTTAGAATTTTAGGTTTCATTGTATTTTCTTAGACAAAAATATTTGGGACTAGAATTTCTAGGCTAAATTTGGAGTAGTGATTCGAATATGTTCATCTAAACCATTTACTAATTATACACAATCTTATTATAAAATAACACTTGGTCGAATACTTAACATCAAAAAATTCATAAGGCCTATACTAACTCCGGATCCAGGGGAGGGTTGGGTCGTGGACCGGGAAGGCCACCCCTTGAATCCGCCACTGACGATGATTAGAATGGTTAGTAGGCTCCTAATCGTCTATGATCTTAGCATTTCAAGTCGTCTTGGCAAGTGCATCCATGTCAATACAATTGCAAGATCCGTTGCATATGTGTTTCCTATTGTCACCTCGTAGTTGATAGTTGATATAATCCATTTCATTTCATTTCATGTTATTTTCATTACACCCACATCAATGCAATATACTTGCAATTGCAATTGATGTTTAATACAATTATAAATCATAAATTCTTAAATAATATAAATAATAAATAATATAGTAATAAAAAATACGATGTGGCATGCAACTCATAATTGCATAGGATGCAAACTTACAAAGATGCGATTGTCATCTACATCAATAAAATTACATAATGTAATTGCAAAAGAATGTCATGTCATGTGCAATTCAAAATGAACTTCTAATACTTTAGTCAAATATAACATTGACAAAGAATGGAGTTACGAGTTATTATGACCAATTTAAATATGAACACGCTCAGAGCATAGCAGTACAAAGACGAGTGACCACTTGGAAAATCATCATAATACACCCAAAAACAAAATCGTGCGTGGCTAGACTCAAATTTGGCAATATATTGGTAAGAAGAAGAGTTTAGATGTTATAAGTGGTATCAGAGCCTCTCTTGCATGATGGTGGAGCAAAGCTCAACCACAAAGTATATATATATATGATATATTGACGTTTCAACACATCGATAGAATGACATTCTACTTTACTTCTACTCCTAAAAGCTCATGAAATAACAATAAATTAAAATATTCTTCTTCTCTTATAATAAAACCTCAACCACAAAGTGCTTATATATATATATATATATATATATCAGACTAGGGGTGGAGCCAGGATTTGAAGTTCGGGGGCCGAATTTTTTTCCGTTTACTATAAGAAAAATGTGAAATATATGAAGACGTTATTAAATTGTATGACCAAAAAATAAATTTTAATGATATTATATTCCAAACAAATGATTAGATTATATGGTACTATACCATAAGCTCTAATGGATAAATCACATGCTCGGATTCTCTAAACCTAAACTCGAGGTTCAATTTAATAGAAAACAATACTTGACCGTTGATATTGATCGTAGCTTATCGAATATATATCTAACAGCCACATAACTTGGAATATACCAATATCTACTATATATATAGTTCAAGCACCAATAAAAACCTAAATAAAAATCTAATATACTCTTTTTTTTTTGACAAAAGATAATCTATCATTGATTAAAGAAGCCAGATAGTTACATCCTGGAACACAGCCAGACCTGAAAATCAAAGAACCGACTCGCAGTCGGGTACAAAGAGAGGGCCTTACGAGCCACCAAATGGGCTACCCTATTGCTACCCCGACCTACAAATCTAATGCTAAACCCCGAGCAATCTGCCAAGTGATGAATAATTTCAGCAAGAATAGCACCAATCCGACTATCACTAGCATCCGCATGGTTGATTTTGTCAATAACGACCTTGGCATCTCCCTTAAAACACACCTCCATTAAACCACGAGCACGACACCACATGATGGCGTCACGGAGCACCAACACCTCCGCCACCATTGGATCATCAATACCCGGGAACTAAATCCCCTCAGCCACTAGGATTGCCCTAGTCGGAGACTAACACCACAAATCCTCCCGCCGAATGGGACCCCCTCCTCGTTGCACCATCCCACATGCAAACTGTTTGAGCCTAACTTGGGTGTAGGAGTGAGACTCGGGGAAAATGGGTCAAGGAGAGTAAACAAAGAGGAAATAATCTTCGGTTTAGAACCGAGGAGATCACAGAGAGAATTGAGAGAGAAATATCCTTGAGAGAGAAGTCGATGATTTTAGAGATAGAGTCCGAAGAATCCCATCCCCTCACCCACCAGAGTAAATGCCATATTTATAGGCTACATGGTGGTGGGTGAGTGGTTGGGTTACAAGTGGATACAATGATATGACCACTGACATGACCACTGACATACCAGGGATTTAGTCCATGCTTTTAGGACTCTAATGTGACTACTCCTGACACAAGCAGGACTATACCTAGGACTATGATGGTGACTACCCGTTGGGTGATGCGGCGCCGCTTCTGCGGCTTCTCGATAAGGGCCCACGCTCGGGTGATGCGTCGTCGTTTAGTATTCGCGCGCGCCCCCCCGGGGGTGGTCTTCACCAGCGTGCTTGGTTCCAGCGCGACCCGCGCGCTTGACTCCGGCGTGACTCCCGCGCCTGACTCCGGCACGCTTGACTCCGGTGTACTTGCGCGCTCCTCCTTGGCGTGATTATCCTTGGTGTTTCTTCAGTGGGGAAGGATCCGAGTCACATGCCCAACAATTGCCCCCCATCAGGGGGTATTCCGCGAATGCCACCTGTTTGATCTTCGTGTGGTTGACTCGGATCTGGGCGATTCCATCTTATTCTGCGCTTCTGGTCCTCACGCGATCTTCGTGTCCTTGGTGGCGCGCGCGTCCCGTGCATCGCGGGTG